TATAGAGCCGGGCCTGTCGTTTATATGCGTAAGTTTTCAATAAAATTTATGTACATATATTCAATCAATATCAAGCTCAAACTTGTTCTACCACCGACTACATAATGTCAATTTGTGGGAAGGCAATAGTGGCCCAAAGCATTAACGTCTATTGTAAACTCTGGTTACCTCTCTCTCATGGCAAATGTAACGTTAGATGTTGTAATCATGAATATGAAACATCAATTAATACACATCATTGTTTATAATATAAAGAGAGTATATCACATTTACACTCATTAACTTTGTATTCCATTTGTTCATGGATATTAAACATGTATGTATATTTTAATGTGATCTACTCTCTTTATATTATAAACAATCACCGTTCAACCAAAATGTCTTAAAACGGTGATTGACTGATTGTTTGCGATATAATTATTATCGGAAAAATTTTAGCTACGTTTGGGCCATTTGAATTCATAATTAATAAAATTGGACCATAGAATTAGAGGCCCAAATCATGTTATGGGCCAAAACATTTGGGCTTTATAGGAAATACAAAATCACTCTGCATCTCAAATTCCACATTGAAGACACCATCACCGTCACTGCAAACACCTCTGCTTCTTCCTCCATTCCTATAATCTCTATAGAATATAAAACCTCCGGCCGAATCTCCGGCCGGAATCTGAACGGAGAAAGAACAGTCATCTCCAATAAAGAGAGCCACATCTCCTAATTCTCTCACTTCTTCCCATCTCTTCTCTTCTCTCTTCAGCTTATAAACTCTAAACTCAACCGCAGATTTCGAAACCTCCGATTTGCACCAAACGTGTTTCACGTATTTGTCAACAAGCAACACTTCTCCGCCGGGATATTCCACAAGATGCTTCTTGTGACCGCCTCCTCCGACCAAACCTTCAGCCAAATCCGAAACCTTGAAATCCACATCGTAAATTACGGTTTTACCCTTATCGTCTACAACGATGCAACAATTCTCTCTGTACAACATTATGTCTTCGTAAATCACATTCCATGAATTATCCAAAATTCTCCATCTTTTTTCGTTTCCACTCTTCAAAAGCCCTAATTTCCCACCACTGTGAATAGCCACTATCGCTGAGTCTTCCCCTGAAGACAAAATCACAACTTTGTCGGAATTTAAAGACCAGAAACAAGAAATCTCACCACCATTGTTTGCGTAGTCCATACGATAAGTTCTACGAACCAATCTCACATGAAACTCCTGCAAGTCGATCTTTTCCGGGAAATTCTCTGGTAAGAAACAGATTCTGTCGTTTGAGAAGAGATCCAAGACTCGCATATTCCCTGGAGATGTCTCTTGAATCTTAACCAACCAGCTTCTCGGATTCAAAGGAGCTTCGAGTTCATAGACACTGCTCTGTTTCAGAATGAAGAAACCAGAGGATGAAGAAGATGATGACCAAAAAGGAAGATACTTTGGGAATTTAGACAAAGGATTTTTGTTGTTGTTGTTGGAGAGAGGAAGAGAGAGACGCCAAGTGGCACATACAGAGCGGAGACAGAGGAGATCAATGGTGTCTGATGAGTCGTCGTCGTCAAGACGATCGGAGATTAACTCAAGCATATCTAAAGGAAGATCAGACCATTGAGAAGAAGAATCCATGGAAGAGGACAAAAGAGAGGATTATGGAACTGTTCTGTTCTTGTTGGGTTTAGGAATTGCCTCATATAACTGTATAATGTCAATATAATGTCGTTATGATTCATCTTTGATGTTGACATCATTTCTCATTTTTAATTATTATAATCATAAATGTCTATTTCATTGGTTGTCTACTTGTCTTTGTGGTTTAATATGTTGCATAATGTCTATTTGTGTGCTATTGTTATCTCTTTGTACTTTGTAGTTCAAAGTTCAAACATAGTCGTAAACCATGCTTTTTTGCATGGATATAGAATTAAAGAAATGTTATGAAAATAATTATTTTTTGTTTACAATGTACCAGTACCATTGACCAATAGGCTTTTTTTTAAGATACACAAATAACACAATTATAGATTAATTAAAAAAAAGTTGACCCCTCCTATAGTTTGTCTCAGCGATGAACAAGCAAATTATAACATTTTATTTTTTTTGGTTTTAAACCAGCAAATTATAACATGTTTCAATATAATGAAACATTTAATGGTTAAAGTTCAATACTATTTCAAAACGCTGCATAATGCACTTTCGAAGAGAGAACATTTTAATTTTAAAGTTTCAAACTAACAATAATGGCCTCATAAATCATTAGCGGAAGAAAAAACAAATTTTCACGACTGAACTTCGTTTACTTCTTCCACACGTTAGGGACTATACTTTCTACATCTTTAGAAGATCTTTCAAGAACAAAACTTAGCACATACACTTTGTCTCTAAATCACTAAATAGCATACATTCTCTTAGTTAAAATTCCAGAAAATTCCAACAATCCTGATTGTCTCGATCTTGCCATCGACTCTTTTCTCGACTTTCTCACATTCGAAGCCTCGATACGATGCATAATGACCCAATAACACATAGTCCCAAGTGTTGTGAGCATTATCGTCGCACCAAACACCGTTACTCCAACCGCTAGCCACCGCTCTTCTTCACCAACCACCACAAACGCTAACGCCAAAAACGCCACCGATATTAAAACGCAAGCTAACCACATCAGCTTGTTTATCACAGCCATCATATTCTTCTTCGCCTTGTGCTCAATCGCAACCACTGAAGTCTGAACCACCACAACCGCCAAAGATATAAAAAGAGCGATTGAATCGAATATGAAGAAGATCGCAAACGCGGGTCTATCTGCGATGTTTGCTTCTCCGAGAGATTGTCCCGGTAAGAGCGAACTCAATTCATCGGCGTATTGTCCTGGAACGGTGAAAATGGCGGCAAAAGCGACAGTTGCGATTAAAACCGCCACGACTGTGGTTGAGTTAATTGCATTGTCAAGACCTTCTACGTGCATTTTGTTAATGCGTTTGGCGATTCCTTGAACGCGTTTCCTCGTCTCTCGAGCGTGTTCTAGCTGGTGATGACTTCATGTTTAATGTCGCTCACCGTTTGTTTGAGCTCCCGCGCTGCGTTTGGTCGAGTAGTGTTGTTGATGGCTTTAGCCGAGGGAACGCCCCGAGTTTTGAGAATCGCGGCGATCTCGGGATGGCCGGTTTTCTCAGCCGTGTCAAGCGGCGTTTCTCCGGCTCTGTTTATCGCTTTTGTGCTTGTGCTTGTCTCGTTGTTATCTAGAAGCAATTCCACTATCTGCAATCACATTAAAATTTCCCTAAGTTATATTATCCAATCATAGCCTTTACATTTAATTTGCAACATATAAATTTCGTTAAATGTCAAACTTAATTTTTATGTTTGCATGCACATTTTACAAAAGTAAATTTTAAGTTTTACCATTTAAAATACTAAATTTTTTTTTTTTTAATAAAATACTAAAATTTTAATTTGAAAACAAGAATTATTGGAGATGTTTTACGAACCTTAATGCGACCTTTCCTAGTAGCAACATGTAACGCAGTGTTCCCTTTAGAATCAACCATATTCAATGACGACCGATGTCCCTTCATTAGCTCAACCACCACATCAATGCTTTGTCCTTTCACCGCCATGTGGAGTGGCGTCTGACCTTTTTTATCAGTCCTCGTTGCCGTGTCCGGCTCCACCGCCACAATCGCCTTTACCACTTCCGCGTGACCGTTCCTAGCCGCCGAGTGCAATGCTGTTTTTCCATTGCTCTTTGCGATCGCGGCTAGGCTACTCCCTGCGGCTTCTAGTAGATACTCTACGACCTCTACGTGTCCCTGAGCTGCCGCCGTGTGTAGAGCCGTCGTGTTTGATAAGTCCACCGTCATTGATAGCTCCGGATGTTCCTCCATTAGTACTCTCAAAACGTCTATAAAAAAAAAGATTTCAAACTTCGTCAATTTATCACACGTAAATAAATATAGAAAATTTTCATGAGATTTTTATGAAATTGTTTCCACTCAATTCTTTCAATAAATAAAAAGAATGGAAACTTGCATGATTATATAAATAATAATTTTGATCGAATTTTCGATATGTGAATTTGGTTCTTTAAATCAAACAAAGATAAACACTTTCATCATATTTTTATGTAATTGTTTCTTCCCAATTCTTAAGATCAAACAAAGATCAAAACTTTCTTCATATGGTAAGGTGATAGAAAACCGAAAAAATTCATACCCAATTCTCCTTGTTTAGCAGCAATGTGGAAAGGGTCGAACCCATTTCTAGCTTTGGTCTCAGCGTCTTCGAGATCATAGTACTTGATGAGCTCTGCAACCACCTCGGCATCACCATATTCTGCCGCCACATAAAGAGCAGTCTCACCGCATTGGTTCTGTTTCCGCAACAACTCTCTTAGTTCCTCTTCTGATTCCATATGATTACTCAAAATATCTTTCACCGCAGAGAAATCTCCGCGTCTAACAGCCGAATGGAGCGGCGAATCTTCACGTTTTCCGGTGAATTGCTTCGCCATTGTCTTTCTAACAACGGTTGGTTTTGCAGCCATTGGAGCTGATGTCGATGTTGAAGCTTCCTCCATTTTATCAACGTGGTTACAAATAGATTCAATACCAACGAATGACTCCTATACCCAATGGGATCAAAAACAACATTAATTTTTGAATGTTATCGCTAAAAAATTCAATTGAAACATTTAAAGAGACGTGGGTCTAAAGATAACCTAACAGCCGGTAAAGCTTCTTGTGGCCTTGTGGGTATATGTGATCAAGAGTCAAGATCTTTCACAACATGTCTCGTATAGGTGAAGAATAATCCATATGATCCAGTTGATTTAGTGGGTTCTCGTGGAACTCGAATCCAAACCAACGCATCGGAAATCAAAAAGATTGTTTTGAAAGAATAAGGATCTAAGAAAATTCCAGAGGTAAGAACTTTTCTGTTCTGTTTTTTCCTCTCCCTCATCTTCTCTCCTATTTTAAGAAAGTTTTGTAACAGAGAAATGAAGACAAAGAGATCTCAGTCGTTGATTAACAACTATTGCACAGATGGCATTGTCTCAAAAGTTTCACACCTTGATCTTGTCTCAAATGGAAGAAACATTAACAAAACCATCCGTTACACAACAAAGTCTATAATATGTTTCTGAAAAAACAAACACCAAAAAAATAAAGCCTACATAAAACCGCCTGAGAAATCCTCTTATGTCGAAGTCGAACACCTCTCGGTCACAGGGGTCTCCTCTGGGAGTACTGGGAAAGCTGCAGCTTCACGAACCATCGTTTCCACAAAATCCATCGCAGGCCGTTCAAGTGCCTGTGCGTTTATACACATCCTCGCAGTTTGAAATAGGCGGTTTAAACCTTCAACCGAATACTTATTACCGAGGGCAACATCAACTACCATAGGCGCATACTCCAGTCTAGTCCATACTGGCATTAACTGCAAAAAAAAAGATACATCCGAGAAAACCTAAATTAATACATTACTTACGGAACGTATAAAAACAAAACCTAGATACAAAGTTTGAGTCATACCCAATCAGTGAGTTTCTCTTTCGCAACAGGTCTCTTCATATCATAAGCTTTCCTTCCAGTTAAAAGCACTAACAGAAAAACTCCATAGCTATAGATATCGGACTTTGTCGAAATCAACCCGAACTCCTCTGCTTCCGGTGCTATGTATCCTTGAGTTCCACTCGAATTGAACTCCCTCTGCCTCTCAACACCGTTTGAATTGTAAACGATCTTAGTCGCAAATCCAAAATCACTCAACTTCGGCACAAAATTATTGTCAAGTAAGATGTTTTCGACTTTGACATCTCTGTGAATCGCATAAAGCCCCTGGTGTACATAAACCAGACCTTCGGCTACACCCACAGCAATTCTCATCCTTGTGTTCCAATCCAAAACCCGAGTTGGCTTCGTTAGACCCTGAACCTGCCTTGCTTGAGCTACAAAAAGAGAAAGAGTTAACAAAACTGGAATTGGTATAGAACTTAAACAGAGTTGATTAGGTTTTTTATTGATTACCAAAGAGATGGTGGTCAAGAGAGCCATTAGGCATGAATTCGTAGACTAGGACACTTTTTTGTATGCCAAAATATTTGCCAAGAAGTTTAATCACATTTGGGTGATCAGCTGCATATAACGTTGTAGTCTCTGCTATGAACTCACTAAGAGCAGCTGTGATATTATTATTATGAATCTTTGCAGCTCCAACCTAATTACACCAAAGTTGCTAAATTTAGCAATTGAGTTTCAGATTTTAACCATAAGACTTTTGGGTTATTATACCTTATGAATTCTTGGGAAATTGCAGCGATAGACTTTGCCGTAGTTGCCTTGGCCGATCAAATGTGTTATCCCGAAGTTTTCGGTTCCGTCTTCGATTTCACGCCATCGAAATTTAACTCCCGTACTCGGAGCTGTAAATGAATTACTATAAGTTAAGGAAGAAAGAAACATAACCAAGAACAAGAACCCTAAATCAACTTCTCAAGATCTAAAGAAAGAAAGATAACGAAGAACAAGAACCCCAAATCAATTTCACAAGATCGAGAAACTTGTTTCAAAACATTAAGAACTCTACTACTCTTTCACACGCAGAAATGTCATGTGAAAGTAAAAACCAGATCAAAACTACTTGTAATTCCAAAAGAAGTAAACACTTAAAACAGATTTGCTTGTACTTGTCTAAAAACAGAGTTTCTTGTGGAACAAGAAATCAGAAAACGAGAAGTTTCTTGTGTGTAGTCATTTCCATAAGTATTATTCCCAAATTCACCTTCGTCGTCACCACTTCCCCCCGATGAATGCGGTTGTGAATTTGGTTGTTCCGATGTATCGGATGAATCCGATGGATCCGGTGATTCTTGTGGTTGCTGTTGCGGTAGTTCCGATGGATCTTGCACTACTTTACTTGAGCTTCCGCCTCCGAAACAGCATATGAAACGATTACTCATCGCAGCGATTCAACGAAGATAAATCTTTCTTGAGACTTTTTTTCTTCTAATTTTCCCGAGAAACTTTTCCCCGGAAAATGTAATTAGATAGAGAGAGAGACTCTCTACGAGAAAACAAGAGCGAGAAAGATTGAGAAACAGAGAGTCAAATGATAAACACTAAAAGAACTCGCCGAATATATATATACACGTAAACATATAAATGTAGAGAGTCTCTCTCTCTATCTTCTATGCGTAATTTTTTTGTGTTTATGATAAAATTAAATTATACACAAATTAGACTAAAAAAAAAAATTAGACTCATAGGAAAAAAAAACTTTTGAATAAAAAGTGTAATTAAGAGATTGGCGAAAATAGAAAGATAAAGACTTTTGAAGAATTATTAATAAAGTAATCAAAATTCATGAGTAAAAAATAATGTTTGCAGAACATAAATAGTATATAGCAAGTACAATGTGACTAAATAAAATAAAATAATATATATGTATAGCAAGTACAATATTATATCTGAAGAAATATGATATTTACACAAGATTTGCGTACTAATATTCATGGCATATATTATAAAACAGGGGTTTTTATTGGTTTGAATAAATTTAACATTCATTCATTCAAAAACAAAAATCATGGCAATAATCTTTACAGACTTTATTATCAAAATAAATGAAAAGAAAAATTACTCGAACTATATACAATGAATCCAAATTAAAGGCAATTTAAGAGAATCTCATGTTAGAGAGACAATGCCACTTTTGCGAAACTATTTTTTGTTCTTCACATCTTCCAAGGGAATCTCTCTTTTAGACCAAATTTGTTGCTCAAATGTAGTCACTACTCAGACACTCATTTCCTAAAGGCAAATTACTCCATGTTTAAGGCGATAACTTTCGTCTCAAGAAACAGAGAGCTTAAGCTTCTTTAGAGATAGCTTTTTTTTTTTTCTCAAAACATGGCTCTTAAAGGTGAAACTTCATTAAAGCAGCTTCTCTTTATGCTGACCGTTCACTATCACTAGACTGCTGATTCAAATCATATATAAAGCTTCTCGTACGTGGTATATATGATCAAGAGTCAAGCCCTTTCAAAACGTCACTTTTATAAGTTGCAGAATCAAAGAGATAAATTTGAAAGACTTAGCATCTAACTAAATTCCAATAACAACAGTTATGCTTTGCTTTTTCCTCTCCACTCCTATTTTAAGAAGTTTCATAACAGCGAATGATGACCAAAACCATCTAAAAAAGTTCACAACCTGATCTCATCTTAAATGGTAAAACCAGTACCAAAACCAAGTCTATAATATGTTTCCGAAAAACCAAACACCAAAATAAAAAGCCTACTAAAAACCCCCTGAGAAAACTTCATATGTCGAAGCCGAACGCCTCCTTTTCACCTGGGGCGGCACTTGGACCGGGAAAGATGCAGCTTCGAGAACCATTGCTTCCACATCACTCATAGTAGGCCGTTCAAGTCGCTCTGTCTTTAAACACATCCTCGCAGTATCAAATATCTTCTTTAAACCTTTCAACCGAATACCTATAAACCGAGCGCAACATCAACTTTTCACAGGCGCATCCTCGAGTCTAGGCATATTCTGATAAACTGC